GCTATAAGAAGGTACCGTACGATATATGTAATTATTTATTTAAAATATAATCTAATTTTTAAAGTTAAATAGAACCTTAAGAGAGTGGAAACGTTTCGCAAAACTCATACTGATAAGAATTGTGTACTTTTTAATACTGAGGCGGAACAACAATATGTAAGTATATAATTATAATTTTATCATATAGTTAAATGTTTATTTATACTTAATTGTTACTCACTTTTTGGGAGTTACAGAATCGGTTAGTTGAAGAGCTGTTAGAACAAACTCAAGGTGAAAGTGATTTAATACCCGCTCAAGAAAGAGCTGCCTTCGAGAAAGTATTAGGAGAGCGACGTGGCCATATTAGAGACATTAGCCATAAACCTTCTGCTCTCCTGCTGATTCCATAGCCTTCACAACTATCACAACAATCATCACAACCATCACAGGTAAAACAATCTACTTTGGTTTTTCTCCCAAGTGCAAGAAATAGCAATGTACTTTGGTTTTCTATCTTTGTTTAAAAATAACAATCTACTTTAGCATTGTAAAATGCATGTTGATTTAGTAATTTTGGTTTTGTGGTGATTATTTGCTAAAAGGTTTGGTAATCGGGTTTTTATCCCAAGTGCAAGAAATAGCAATGTACTTTGGTGTTCTATCTTTGTTTAAAAATAGCAATCTACTTTAGCATCGTAAAATGCATGTTGATTTGGTAATTTTGGTTTTGTGGTGATTATTTGTTAAACAGTTTGGTAATTGGGTTTTTATCCCAAGTGCAAAAAATAGCAATGTACTTTGATTTTCTATCTTTGTTTAAAAATAGCAATGTATTTTGATAGTTTTTGTTTATGTTTGACAATCTAACTTATAAGTTTATATATGTTGTTATTAATTATGTAGTTAGAAAATTTTTGTGCCATGCTCAGCGACCCAGCATGTAGGAATGAACTTTATTCGTTTTTAATCCCAAAATAATCAAGGAAACGATGGGAACAAAGATGATGGTATGTAAGGATGCGTTTTATTTGCATATGTTGTCACGCTATAATTGCTATCTTGGTATTTTGTAAAACATTGGTTGTTTTTTGTAATTACCGGGCGACATTATTACTTTTTATATTTAATCGGATATTATGACTTTTGATATTTAATTGTAATCGGATGTTTGTTTTGTAATTAGCGTTGACACTATTATTTTTTATATTTAATCGGATGTTTGTTTCGTAATTAATATCGACACTATTATTTTTGATATTTAATTGAATATTGTTATGAAATTACCGACGACATTATTACCGGCAACCAAAATCATTAATTTAAAAAAAATTAAAAAAATGAAAACTGTTATTACCGGCAACACTATTACCGGCGACAAGACTCGTTACCGGCGACATAGTTATTAGCGGCGACACGAATCATTAGTGGCGACAAAGTGATCAATAGCGATGAAGCAGTAGCGGCGACTCAGTGCGGCGACGCGTCGCCGCTATTAGTATTACCGACAACATTTTGGACTTTTACCGACGACTTTTGTCGCCGGTAATGACCTTTTTCCTTGTAGTGTCTCTTCCTTATCTCTAATTTTCTCTAGAAAACCATAACTTCACAAATCCTTTAATTCGTGTTTTGTGTCCTTAGAGCATAACAATGGGACACTGCTTCCATAAAATGATAAAATTCTTGGAGCATTCGTGGTTTGCGTGCTTTGCTTTAATTCCTCTATGCCCTTCTCTTTTTCTCCTTCTTGGTTTGGTACTTTTATAGAAACCTGATGCTTCAATTGAAATTTCTTTTTGAATGTTTTTCTTGCAAAGTTTTGAGATTAATGGCAAACGATTTCTAGCGTCATTATCTTCAAAAAAATACTTACTGAAGGTATGTTTTCAACAAGTAGTTACACAGACTTATAACGTAATCTGATACAATCAATTCTTTTTATTGTTCTATGCATCCCCATCCACTCTTCTTTCTAGCTTTCCTTACGGCTATGATCCAAACTGATATCATCGTTTTTGGTATTTTAAAACCAAATCTGTTTTTAACTTGTGAATTTGTGTAAAAGAAATCTCCTCCAAAATCATGTTGATTGTTTTGCATATATGTTTTAAATGGGTTAGTAGTTTTTTGAGAAGATGGTAAGTTTTATTTAAATGCATATAACGTGTTTGATGAAATATTTGATGATATTAGACAATAGGATTGGATATAGAAGGGAATAACAGTTTGCTACATCATCTAGGAAGTTATTTTGTTATGATTGAAGAAGATAATGTGTTGAGAAGTGAATAACATTTTGCCTCACGGTATTACTAATTGTTTCTTTTATTTTAATTGAATATCCGGAGACTGTCTGTTGAGATCAGCCATTTTTATTTCTTTTTTCTTAATCGGTGGCTTGCCTACAAGCTTGAATCAAGTTATCCCTTATTTACTTCACATGATGTATTTAAAACCAAATTAAAATCATTAATACTATATTATTTTGTAAAATTAATTTTTTACTTGAGTACCATCATCACTATTAACAAAGAAAAGTTGTATAAGATATGAGAATCGTGCTACCTCCATTTTATTTGGTTTGTCTATATATCACAACTTGCCAAGTGTTATGATATATATATATATATATATATATATATATATATATATATATATATATATATATATATATATATATATATATATATATATATATATATATATATATATATATATATATATATATATATATATATATATATATATATATATGGTTTTTGTTTACAAACTTTAGGTTTTTATAATTATTAATTCAAAGAACTCACAATTTAGTTAGTTGTAATCATAAATCATAGAAAAAAGATGCCGAGTTTATAGAGTTAGCAAATTGTTGTCATTGACTTTTATTTATTTATTTATTTTTGTGATTACATATTCATTTAATTACAATTCAGTTGAAATTTGATGCCCTGTCACACAATTGAAAAGAAAACATCATTCAAACCATAAGAAAAAAAAAAGGTACTTAATCATCAATTATTTGTCAATTATTTCTAAAGAAAAATGGATGCATCTTTTTTTTTTTTATCCAATTTTCATAAAAAATGGATTACCGAATTAAGAAAATACAATGGTGTTCTTATTTCTTTATCTCATCAAACTACTTCACTTTGTATATGAACCTTAAAATGTATGGTTTATTTTGAATAGTTATACTTTTTTGGTTAAATTTTGAAGATGTTAATTCGTGGATAATTCAAATCATTTTCTTATTATCTCATTGCCCGGATGAGTGCACGCTTACCACATGGTCATAATTATGCAGAAAGGATCACGCTTTCATATCCCAATTTTGAAAAAGCTACGACTGTTATGCAACGTAACAGTTAAAAACATGTAGTTTTTATGTACTATTTGAATAAATTGATTTATGTACAAAAATGTTTAAAAAATATTTGAAAAGAATGATGTCTTACTTGGGAAATGGAAAGAAAATCAACCGGATAAACTACAAAGTAAAGTAATGTACTTTTGATTAGAATGAAAAACAAGATGGTCTTTGGATTTTTCTTTGTTTCTAAAAATTATATTCTAAGAGACATTTTTTCATCTAGTGTCTTCTAAAAAAACATTTTTTTCATTAATATATCTTGTAAGACACATTTTCTTATTCTTTGTTTGTATAGTTGTATTAACAGGATAATAGATTGTTGTGCATAGCAAGAGAGAGAGAATCGACTCTTGATTGGAATGAAAAAACGAGGGTATCATTCTATTCTTAAAAGAATTACATAAAAGTTTTGGTTTAATTAGTGTGTTTGATTGCAGTAATAACAGAACCATCGTCATCCTTTTATTTTGATTGTGGAATTTTGGATTCAATGATATGAAAAGAGGATTTATTTATTTAACTTTGATTTTTTTTTTTTTTTTGGATACTTAAAACAGCTCATTTTTATGGTTCACCGATCCTTCTCCAATTACAACACCCTACTTTGATTTTATGTCATTTAGAGCACCGTACTTTAAAAATCTACCATTTACATCATCTCACATTCATTTTAGATCATTATAAATTAACGTATTTGAAATCTAGCAATTACAACATCATAGTTTCATTTTAGTTTAGTATGGCATTGGAGATATGGAGCTAAAGTGCACTTTAATGTGAAAACCCTAAACAGGGTCTCCTCTTCTCTCTACTGTTTCTATCGATATTTAGAGCTAGAGAGGAGAGATGTTGGCTTTTAACGGACAAGTATGAGTCTAGCAAGGGTTTAGAATCAAATTTCTTTCAAAAAGATCATGAGTTGCAGGTCTAAAAAGAGGAAGAAGACAATGCGTCTTCCTGCGACGGTGAAGAGAAAACAGACAGCAGTTTCCGGAAAAGGCAAGTTTCGTCCCCTGATGTTTGATTTTCTGACCAGTCCTACCCCAGACCACATTTCTCTTCCCAAAATGATTTTTGAAAAATTACAAATTCGACCCCGGACTTTCTAATTCAATTATTAACCCTTTTATTTTCAACCCAAAACATCATAGTCATATTTCACAACATCACTTACACTAATTTCTACAAAATAAATCAATTCCGACAGTTGGTTCTTCTAATAATTCAAATGACTAAGCGGAGGATCATGAATAAATGGCCGTTTGATTTCATCTAGCCCGTTTTTCGTTATGACCATGGTTCAAGAACCAGCGTTGACAAATCAAACATCTAATTTGATGAGATATTTGTGTCTTCAATTGTTTGTGCTACGAAAGCCCATTCATTTTTGGCCCTATGTATGTTTAAAATTGGGCAGGATGAAAGAAAATGAGTTCGAATTGGGGTCTACACAAATGAGAAAGAAAGGGATGAAAGAAAATGAGTTCGAATTGGGTCTACACAAATGAGAAAGGAGTGATCGTGTGGGGTTTTTTGATATGTAAACGACATAGTATTACTTTATAACTTTTTTTTGTTAATAGATAAAGTTGAGTGTTAATTATTCTTGGCCACACTTAGAAATAAAAGTTAAAACAATTTTTTTTAAATAAATAAGGGATTATTAGAAAACCCCAATAAATATATAAATGGGATTATTAGAAAACCCCAATAAATATATAAATGGGGCAGAAGCAAAAAGCTTAATAATGGTCTTAAATCGTTAAAACTTTAAATAGTTAACTAGTAAAACATGAGCTATATAATATAATATATGATAATAAGATGATAAGAGCGTCAACACCAGTTTAGTATGAATTTGAAGGGCAGATGCTCAGGATTCGGTCCTTGTAGAAAGCTTGTGTGGGAATGAGATAGAGTTTCCCATTTTGGATTATGATCAGGTCGTTCTATTTGAACATCTTTAAGGTAACGAGGCCAATATGTGTTACTATTGTTTTTCTTCTCCATTAATACCTGGAGCATGAGCTTGCAAAAGTGATTCTTATCTTTCAACATGGTGTCGGGCCATGCAGTTACTTGTTGAGGGCGACAAATCTCAAAAAACGCTTGGAAAAACGGGGAGCACTCCCACAGACATTCATCGCCGGTAGTTTTAAACGAAAGTTTTTGCAAGTTGGTAGCCGGAGGAAATGGTAGCCTTCTTCTTAGATCATCGATGTCAATCTCCAATGGTAATGGCAGGTCATGGTTGATGGTTTTTATATGAAGTCTGCTACACTCGCGTGATAACATGAGTGCTTCCCTCATCTTAAGGAAAAAAGAAGCATCGACACGATCAACGTTGAGTCCCAGACAAAATTCGATTTGCTCCAGAGTAGAGTCTGGAAACAAGAGAGTAGGCATTGTCTGACCATAGAAGGAGAAGAAAAGTAATTTTGGAGCAGTAACATGTACCACGTCTACAAGCGTGCATGGGCACGACAGTAACGAAAATCTCTTGATGGAATCACTACATGTGAAATGAAAGCTTCCCAACATCCAACAGTCCATATCAAGGGTCAAATTTTCAAGAAAAGGTAATCCCAATTTGATGATCATGTCCAGAGATGCGTTGTCCCTGATCATACCCCCGCCTAAACTTAACTCTGTGACGCTGCTTCCTAATGATATTGAATGCTCATTCATCAATGGTCCAAATCGTCTAGACATTCCATTCATATGCACGTTGCAGCCCATGACATGGAGATTTGGGACATGACTGATTTCAAAACCGGTAGACCCTGTATCCATTGTAACTATTTGTAATTCCTCAAGACAGACAAGGTTTTTAACTTTGATGCTGTTGAGGCCCTTGGAACAATATAAAAGCTTTATCTTCTCAAGCAAACTACAAGACAGCAATATGTCATGGAGGACATCCTCGCTTATGTGCATACCCACTAAGTGTAGTTCTCGTAAGGATACACATTTGGGGGGATGATGATAATGACAAGTCTTCATGGAAACCGAATGGATCCCATCAATAGGAACTGAAACTCGAATCTTAGTTAGGTTTCGGCCGGAGAGTATCTCATATGGTAAGTGCAGCGAGGCGCCATAAGGGCGGATTGTGAGGGAAAGCTCTTTAACACTAGTAGTTTTAGTGGCCACCATACGGATCAATTTTTCAGCGAGAGAAGCCGACTCCTGGTTCTCAATCGAAATCGACAGCTCGAAGCTTTCGATTGGGATGTTGTTATCGAGGTAAATTTTCAGGGTGCGCTCCACGTCCAACAATGTCATGTGCTTTCTTTCTTTTATTTTTTCTTCTTCTTCTTCTTTGGGAAGATGAAACCTGAGGTTAGGGATGGTGCACCAAGCGTGTAACCACGACTTGGACAAGACACTGGTGCGGGCAGCTTCCTCTACCGATAACCGGGACTGTACATGGTGCATCAACTCCAGAACATCTTCTAGTACTCTCCTTCTCTTCCCTTTCAGATTCATACCTATCATACCAACACATAATCGATCTAATTAAAAAACCAACATCCTATCGCTTGATTAATTATCAAACGAATATTAATTACTATAATTTTATTTTATTTTTTTGAACTGCAAAGCTTAAATCTTGTGATTCAACAACTTGAAGAACTACCTGATCCTGAGAAATCACAGCAACCACAGCCGCAACCTGTAACTTTTATCATCCTAGCTAGGGTTACAATTTTAGCCTAGCCACAATCCTGGATATTTATAACTTCGATTCGAGTAAGTTACAGTTTTGGTCCTTACCCTTTGGTTAGATCGAACTTTAAATCTAAATTTTGAAAGCTTGGTTAGATTCATCCTTTTGATTTAAAAAAATTAAACCAAATTACCCGTACTTTTATCTTTTTGTTTTTTGTTTTATCTTTATGATAAAACTGCAAAATTGGTCCCTGTAGTATTGAAAAAACTTTGGATACGATCTTTTCAACTTGTATGGATGGTTCAAAATCAAGGTTTTTCTTTTGTTTTGGTCCTTAAATTAAGAAACTTTTGTAGTTTTGTTCTATGGAGCACTTGAATTGACTGTTTTGCCCTTTAAATTTATTTTTTTAATTTTTTTATTTTTACATTTTCTATTTTGTAAATATTAATAAAAAAGGCCTACACCATAACACTCTCTCTCTCTCTCTCTCTCTCTCTCTCTCTCTCTCTCTCTCTCTCTCTCTCTCTCTCTCTCTCTCTCTCTCGGAACACCAACCATTTCATCTTCTCCAATGAACTCCCCAACCTCCAGTTGTTTGCTTCACCCAACTATAGATTTACAAAATAAAATTGATCTGGATTTTCAAGAAATCAATAAAACCTAGATTTACAAAAAAAAATGACAAAATTGCAAATTTGGTCCTTGTGGTTTGCAAAAATCTTTGGATGAGGTCGAAAAAGTTTCCAGCATGCACAGAAGGTCCAAAATCAAAGTTTTTCTGAGTTTTTAGTCCAAATAACTTGAATAGATGATTATACCTTTTTTATTTTTTTATTTTAAATTTTTTACAATTATTATAATTTCATTTTAACTTAACAATAAAAAGAAAAGAAATGTATTATCCCCACCCATCCGTACTCTCTCTCTCTCTCTCTATCTATCTCTATCTCTCTCTCTCTCCCCTATTAGACTGCTATATTAAACATATTCCTCTTTCATATTTCAGAAAAATAAAGTACCACCATAACCATCACCGGTCAACCATGAGGAGACGCCACCGTTCTTGCTAGAACAGCCGCGACCTTCATAGCACTCCTGACAACACACTAAAAGAGGAAACTACGGTTAACAGAAGGGCTGCGGGTATCCATACATCGACTCGGGCATCTTCACCAGCTCCGACTGTGGGGACAACAACAGGTGGCATCGAAGCTGGAACTGGATCTTGTTTTTCTCGGTGGATCCTGTTTTGGTGGATCGGGTTTTGGTGGATCGGCTTTTGGGCGATCCGGTTTGGGAGGATCCAATTTAGGCTTTCCAACCGGTGTCGGCGCCGACACCAGAACTACAACTGGAGGGGGCTTGGGTTCTGGTTTTTTCTCAATCACCGTAGGCTTCTCAGGTTCTGGGGGTTTCGGTTTATCAACGGGCTTTAGTTTTTTCGGTGTTTCCGGTTTGTTCTCAACGATCTCAATGCTTTGGATTGCCTTCCCACCTTTGCAGCAGAGCTTATATCTGATCTTCTCAGCATCGTAGCATACGGCTGTGATCCTAACCTTATTTTTGTCCTGATCAAACAGTTGATATCTTATTTCTACCATCCCAAAACAAGGGAAAAAAAGTCAGTTCTCATCTTTATAGTAAAGATAACCCAACTTGTAATCAAACAAGATTATAAACATCATCTTTGGCATAGAAAATCTTATGAGACATAAAAATATAAGAAGTAATCAAACAAGATGTTGTTTATACTTAAGGAGATGTAAGGTGGAATTAACTCACGAGGGAATTTACAGAGGACTTTCTTGACCTTCTTGTAGCAGCAAGGGCATTGAAGATCAACATTCAGATTTCTTACAAATTACGATGATTTCATTCATGTCGTTAATCGAGATTCTAACAAACCAGTCTGTATAATCTTGTAGCCAAGTAGCAAAAATTTAGGTTTTTTTCCGAATTCCATAAATGAGGAAGAAGATGGAAAAAGAAAGAGACAACAGAGAGAAGGATTCAAAGAGAGTGAGAGAGAGAGAGAGAGAGAGAGAGAGAGAGAGAGAGATTGTGTACCGTGGGGATAATACATTTCTTTTCTTTTTCTTTTTATTTTTAAGTTCAAATGGTATTATAATAATTGTAAAAAAAACTAAAAATAAATAAATAAAAGGGTATAATCATCTTTTCAAGTTTTTTTGGACTAAAACCCTAGAAAAACCTTGATTTTGGACCTTCTGTGCAAGCTGAAAATTTTTTGGACCCCATCCAAAGATTTATGCAAACCACAAGGACCAAATTTGCAGTTTTGTCAAAAAAAAATACATATATGTTCCATCTTCAAAATCGTGTTCATCCACACCAATATCCAAATAAACCTTCATCTCACCCCTTGTCTCCATTTTCTTTGTCTTCTGTGATTTCCATCAAGGAACACACCAAATTTTGAGGTTCTTGTTTTATTTTTTTGTGTTTAACCTAGAAAAGTCACGTTAATTGATAGAATGGAAATGGTCTTCTGTTCATGTTTTCTATTACCTGTAGCTGGTCTTGCTTTCTTCTTAAAGAAACTCATCTGCTCTAATCTCCTTACTTCTATTAAACACATAAACCTCAAGGATTTTACTGCAAAAATCCCTCTTTTGCGTTTTCAAGCTCTCTACAAACCCCAGCCATGTCGCTCACAATTCTTTGTTTGAATTACAACAACGAAGTGGTCCGTCATTTCTCAACCTGCATAGAAAGCAATTTGCTTCTCCACTCAACCTCAGTCTTGCCTTGCTTTCTGTTCAACTTATACAAATCAAAAACGGAGTGTCTTCAACTCAAAACACACACACATACACACCTGCAACTCAAAACACACACATACACACTAAATCAGATTTTCAAGATTTGTAAATCTATATAAGAATTGAAGCAAATTTCCACAAGAATCGAACTCAAATGAAGAATTTGATGAATGTTATGAGGTTCAAACGTTATGGTTCATAAATCCACTTGATTGGCCATCTAGGTTCAATAGACACACGACGAGAAAGAGCAAACATGGGAAGCACTTGAACGACCTCATCAAAGAATCAAACCAAACTTCATCCCACCCTCTTCAGTGTCGGAGTGTCGGACCTAGAGCTCTGCTTCAGGATAGCTTGAACGAACTCATTAGAGAAAAGAAGAAATAGTAAAAGATAGATAAAGAAAATCAAAGAGATAGAGGGAGAAATAAGGGAAAGGTGCGGATGAAGGGTGTGGGGTAAGTGATTTTTTTTAAATTATTAAAATATAAAAGAAATAAATAAAATGTAAAAATTAAATAATAAGGGCAAAATAGTCCTTTCAACTATTTTATGACCAAAACCAAAGGAAAACCTTGATTTTGGACCATTCATGCAAGTTGGAAACTTTTTGGACCATATCCATAGTTTTTCAAATACCTCAGGGACCAATTTTACAGTTTTACCTATCTTTATATATAGGGTCTGATTCCCGTGATAACTCACTTTAAAATGAAGATTAGTGAGGACACTTTAAAAAAAAAAAAATCTAAAAAAATTACAAATCATAAAAATCGAGCATAGATCTCTATTCGGGTGAAAAAAATAGGAAATTTTTTTTTGCATCATTAAAATTATCCATTATTCAATTTCAATTTTTAATTTTACATCATTGTGATTTATAATTCAATTTTAATCATACAAACTTTTTTTTTCCAATTTTTTTTCTTCCGTATATAGATCTATGTTCGATTTTATGATTTGTTTTTTTTTTAGATTTTTTTTTTCATTTTTTTTAAGGTGTCCTCACGAGTCCTCTCTTTAAAATGAGTTCTCCGATTATATATATATATATATATATATATATATATATATATATATATATATATAACATCCGCATTCCCAAGTATATCATTCTAATATTTTTATTTTTGGAATTTGTGAAGGAACTCGGCGAGTTGATGCTTAGACTCGCCGAGTAGGGTCGCGGATTATCATCCGGGTTCGCGACTAGACTCGGCGAGTCCATGCTGTTTAATAAAACCCTAATCCCCCGGGGTTGGAGCCTATTTAAGGGCACTCATAGTCCCCCATTGGGTCTACCAGTCCCTTGAGAGAACCCTAAGTGAGCTCAATCGTTTGGGAGGAAGAGAAGCTATAATTAATCTTTCTAACTTTGGTTTAGCAAGAAGAAGGTGATCAAGAGCAAGAGGAGACTGAAGGAGGTGTGATTCTAGTGGTTTCAGAGTCCAGCGACTTCAACTTGAGGTATTTATTCGGACCTTCTTCAGTTTTTGTATTGATTCTTAGAGTTAGGGTTTTCTAACCTCTTTTGAGGATGGTTATGTGGAGCAATTGGTCCCTTCTCGAGTTTATGCTTTGGATCTGGACTCAAAGAGGTCCAGAGACCTTAACCATTGGAGCTTTATGAGTTATCTTGGGAGTTATGAGCTTAGAATGTCATTTTTGGAGCTAAATCATCAAATGAGACCATCTAGATGATATATGAGCATCAAGATCTGGACTTTACGTGATTATTATGTTTGGGAAGGCCAGATTTATGCATTAGAGGAACAGATCTGACCTCATGAGGTCAATAGAGTTTGTGCATGGCATGTACTCGCCGAGTTGTTCTTGAGACTCGGCGAGTTGAGTCGGGGTGGCCCCGCAATTCATACCTGGGGACTCGTCGAGTAAAGGGAGGGACTCGACGTGTTAAACGGTTAGTGGACACATGTGGACTCGCCGAGTTTCCCAAGTGCACTCGACGAGTCGGGTCAAGGTTTGACCGTTGACTTTGGTTGACTTTTAGGTTCTGGTCACCAATGAGGACCTTTGAGCCAAAGGAGGGGTAAAATGGTCTTTTCCCTTCTGAGGGTGCCTAGAGAGGGTTGAGTCTAGTTCTGAGAGTTATATTTATGAGAGTATCACTTTATGTGTTTAGGCGAAGGCTAGATCGTATTTCTACCGAGTCAATGATTTACCGGGACATCTGAGGTGAGTCTTCTCATTATACTTTACATTGAGTGGCAATTAGAGGTATTTGATAGAGTTATCGTATGCTATTATGTGATGTGTTGTACTGCATTATTTCTATGTGGTTTATGGCAAGTGTATATCATAGTATATCAGAGTTAGAACCGGAAGGTTCACCAATTTAGGACCAGAGGGTCCATAGAGTTAGGGCCCACGGGCCCACAGAGTTATGGCCTCGAGTGGCTAGTATGTGTATGTATGGTATTTTGGGGAACTCATTAAGCTTTATGCTTACAGTGTTATGTGTTTCAGGTACCAGTGATGATCGCAGGAAGGCGTCAGCATGATTCGTGCACACGCATGGGTTTTTATGTATTTTGGTCTTGGGAAATATTTGTGAAACAAAGTATGATAAAATGGGGTTTTGTCAATAAATGTGTTTGGAAAAGTGTGTTTAAAATGAGAAAATTTTGTTTTAAATTTTACGGTGTTACAATTTGGTATCAAAGGCTTGGTTTGAGGGATTCGTATGCATCTTCGGGCGTATCTGAACTCAAATTGAGGATTTGAGGGAAGAAGTTGATAATAAAGTAATTTTTTTTAAAAGGTGTAAAAAGAGTTTTGAAACAAACAGAGCAGAGCCGTGTGTACGATCAACCAGCGCCCGAACGCTGATTTCCCAAAATACCCTTACAATAAGTTGTAAAAGAAATGTTATGCTATGCTATATGATGAATTATATTATGCATGCTAGAGTAAGACTAGGTATTCTTATTAGGACTAGAGTGGCCTGATATATGATGCCTTAGTCCAGGGATTTTGTTATTAGGAATGCTTGAGAGTGTTAAAACAGCAGCAAGGAGCTTATGAGAGATTTGCTAGTGAGTGGCACATGATTAGAGAGAATAGCGTACTTGGGATTTGGGGCTCTGGGAGGAGGACTTGGTGTGAATGCTGAGTCGGTGTGGTTGGTAGTATTGGGCCCGTACTATCGAAGGCACTGGGTCAGTTCGCAACCCAAGAAAGAATCCTTAGGGTACCAGAGATCAAGTAGGGTTGGGATATCGAGTGTGTGTACGTCCGAGCAAATTACTGATATCTTGTGTTGTATTTCGGAGAGGCGTCATGGTAGGGACACGTCACAGACCAGGGACCAGTGGAGGGGGTGTGAGCGATGAGGAGCTCCGCCAAATGATTCATGATGAGGTGGCTGCTGCCATCCACGACGAGATTCCAGAGATGTTTGGGTCTATTAAGACCACCCTGATCGAGACATTCGATGCGAGATACACTACTCTTTCTGAGGCAGCTGTTGTTGCGGCCACTGCAGCTGTAGCTGCGGCTAGACCGCAGGGTGGTGATGCGTTGCTGTTATGGGAGTTCAACAACACAAAACCATCGGAGTTTGATGGGACCCAGGATCCGATTGCGGTGATGAGGTGGATATCAGAAATATGCATTTGAGGGTCCGGTTCGCGCTGAACCAACTTCGCTTGGGAGCGAAGTATTGGTGGAAGTTTGTGACGATGCATTATTCGCCTGCTGAGTTTACTGCAGTGACTTGGGAGAGGTTCACTGCTATGTTCTGAGATAAGTACGTTCCTGATATGTGCATATTTAGTGTGTATTAAGTGTAGTAT